GCCAAAAACACTTGCCTTAAAATGTTATCGAAATATATATAGGTCTTTATTATTATTTTTTAACATGTTAATAAAATAACAAGAATAAACAATTTGTAACGGACAGATTTTAGTTCAGATAAAAATCACTGTCAACCTTTTATCAATATTATATATACAAGTTATACGCTCCCGGAGAAGCTGAAGCTGTTTTTACTTGAGGATTCTTTTTGTGTGGCAGATCATCCCATTATAAGTTTTGGTTTACAGTTTTTGGTGTGACTTCGCCGTTTTCTTTAATTTTCTTCATTCGTCTCTCTCTTTGATTGTCCTTTCTATATTTCTAATTTCTATAATGCGTATCAATATCATAAATCTATTTGACTCTTTTTGTTTTTAATACATTACCTAAGTTGTTGTTTGTTATCTGTTTGTTGTTAGACTTGGTGTTATCTATTCCATCTCTTATTTAAATTTTATACAATTTCACTCAAGTTTTTACTTCATAGTAAGAATTTAAAAAGTAATATTGTTAATAATGTTTTTTGGCTGATGATACTAAAGAATATTATCATAGTTTATAATACAAAAGTTATGAATTCGATGACTTCTTAATAAAAATCTAGTTTCTGTAGCACTGTAGCTCATACCAGTAATTAATAATTTTAATAAATGTAGGTTTTACAGACATAATCCCTTAAATAGAGACTTTAGTAATATTTATCGTAGGTATATAGTTGCTGACTACTGTATCGTATTACTTTATCCCGTGGTGACGTATTTTTTTACCAATCTTATTTTGCATGTATGATTTTAGGTATTATTTTCGTTTTAACAACGTAAAAGATAATTAAACCAGCATTACTGTGACACCAAAAGTATCTGAAGAATAACGGAACAGTAGGCAAATTGCAAGCGATAAATAATCCAAAATAATCGACTAAAATCATGGACAATCGAATGGTACTACTCCAAAAAGCAGTATGTGTAGGAGTTCTGATATCAACTAATTTCGGCGTTGACCACAAGCTCTTGCAAGGAAAACTGCCTAATAAATGAGACAAAATTGCCCATAAAAATTAAAAATTAAACATTGAATCACAAGACGATAACTACTAAGTCTTTTGCAAATACTCTTTTTCACTTTTCTTCTCACTTTTCCCTTTCTCTCTATCTTTTTATCTTTCTATCTCACTCTGTCAATAATTCATCATCATCATCATTGGCTTTTACAACTCTTCGTGAGTTTTTGCCACGTTTACTATTGCCTTCCATTGATTCCGATCCTGTGCTATTATTTCCCATGGTCTTACTTCCATCTTCTCCAGGTCTTCCCTGACTGCGTCTTTCCACCTTTTTCTAGGCCCTCCTGTCGATCTTTTACCATCTGGTCTTTCCCAAAACACATTGCTAATCAGTCTGTCGTCATCACTCCGTACCACGTGGCCTGCCCATCTTAATCTATTGGCTTTTATGTATCTTACGATGTTTCCTTTCCCGAAGAGAGTCTTTATTTCATTGTTATATCTGCTCCTCAATTCATTTGTCACGCTGTCCCTGCAAGGACCATATATAATTCGCAGGATTTTGCGTTCCCATACTAATAGCTTATTGATTTCTTTCTTTCTCAATGTCCATGTCAATAATTAAACTCTTCTTAATGTCTCCCTCCCAAATCAACTCTCTCTATTCTATTGGTTCTAATGTATCCCTCTCTGTCTCTTAATTTAATTATTATATCCATTGTAATGTTTCTGTTTTGTTAATGAGTAAAGAGTTTAAGCCAAGAATAGAGAGCTGTGAGGATGGAGAAGGAAGTATCCTAAGTAATACGGCCTCAATCTTGACTAATAAGTTGAATTTGCCGACGAAAAATTCAGCGGTCATTATATCGAAGAAGCAGATAACGTAGTAGATCGAAATATTGATTCTTATTGTGAACATCGAGGCAGACGCCTCAAGTAGACTGTAGCCGAATAGAGAAGATTCATGGTGGAGAGAGGGCACGATCCTCAGAGAGATTATGCCATGTATTGTAGTCGATTTGTCTTCAATGCGTGCCAATTGATGTTTCATCTTAATCTAATGTCTGGACAATATGACAATATGATATATAATTTTGGATCATCCAGTTTTTCCTTGACAGTAATTTTATATTTGTTCCTAATATTTTATGTTGATTTAAAATATATTTATTTAATTTGATTTTATACAGGATGTTCACAGACAATGTTCACTAAAAACAACTGTAAATTGTGGAATTCATTTTAAGTTAATGTTGTTAACAAATCACGTTATCCAAAAATACTTCCAAAGAAAACAACAAATCTTTAAATATTACACAAATATTACACATTTGACAGATATAGCTTCAACAATGTGGCCGCTATCAACTGCCAAAGTTCGAACGTCCCTATTAAAAGACCCGTCATATTCATTCTATGAAGTATGCGATATCTGAAATTGTAAATCGTATATATTTTAATTGTGTTCTTGATTGGTAAATTTTTGACCATTTTGATTTGCTTTGTGGACTTCAAACATGCATTCGATAAAGTGCAGCATATGAATTTAATGCAGGTGCTAAAAAATATAGAAATATATGACAAAGATAATCATTTTATTAAAAGTCTGTACTGGAATCAAACTGCTGTCATAAAAATTAAAGACAACTACACCAACGAAATCTCTATATAATGAGGAGTCAGGAGTTAGGTCTATATAAGGCTACATTCTGTAGCCAATATTGTTCAATGTTTACCTTGACCAGTTATTTAAAAACGGGAACTACTGTAATTAGATTCTCTCCAAATTTTGCTTGATGGTATTTACAAAGTAGGAGAGGAAATTAATATTAAAATTAACCCAAACAAAACGAAATTGTTGGTCTTTAGTCGTAACATACATCCAGATGCAGAGCTTCAATTAAATGAAGTTCAATGTGAAAAAGTTCACAAAATTACATATTTGGGAACAAGAAGAAGAGCAGAAACAGTGGACACTTAAAGTTATAGCCATAAACAGAATTAAAGCGTTAGAAATGTGGGATCATAGACGGATGCTGAAGATACCGTGGACAGCAAGAAAAACCAATGAGGAAGTACTAAGGATCAACAAAGCTAGAGAATTGCTAAAGACTGTTAAACACCGGAAAATATCTTATCTGGGACATCTGACAGAACATCAGTATTGGTGGGCAGAAGTCGAACTCGTAGATAATTATAAATACCTAGGACGTGAAATTATGATTCGCATGAATAATCAGAGCCACGAACTGAAGAGAAAAATCAGTCTTGGGTAGACAGCATATAAAAAACTGAAAGAAACTTTGAAAAGCTGTCCACATGCCTGAAGAGAAAAGTAATTGATTAATGCGTCATCCCAGTGTTCAAATACGGAGCAGAAACACTTACTCTAACAAAAGCCTCGGCAACCAAAACTAAGAGTCACACAGAGAAGAATGAAGCGATCCATGTTAGGAGTCACTCTGCGAGACAAAGGAGAAAACAAAGAGATTAGGAGAAGAATCAAGGTGACTGACATCATCGAAAGGATAGCCAGACTAAAATGAAAATGGGCAGAACACATAGCTAAAATGACGGATGGGCGCTAGACAAACAGGTTATTGGACACGAAGGGCTGACAATTTGAGAAGAAAAAATAAAAACTGGATCAGAGTTGCGCAAGATAGATGGAGTTAGAAACATGAAGAAGAGGCCTTTATTCTTCAGTGGACTCTTAAGGCTGGATGATGATGGGACATATATTGAGGGGAAATCGATATAGGATACTGCAACTGATCCGTAAAGGCAAAATAGAAGACCGAAGAGGTGTAAAAAGAAGACAGGTTTCTTGTTTAAACAAGATTCGTGAATAGGCAGAAGATCGAGAATACTTTGCAATGGTGATTCTTTTTGAAGTCTTCGCAAGTGAAAAAAGGTGAATTTTTATAGCTTCATTGTGTATAATTGTTAAACATCAATTAGTAGCTTAATTACAGTTTGTTCAACTTCCTGCAAACTATATTGCCTAATATGTATTAAGGAAATGCTTGCAACCATTTGCTCGATTCAAATTATATTTGCTATCTTTTAAAAGTCAAATGTTTCTCTTCTATGTAAAGGGCTATTCATTTATTTGATGAATCGTAGTATTTTGGTAAGATTATAAATACGGCTTCTGGACTAGTTTGGGAGGTAGTCGAATATAAATTTTTACCTAAAAACAACTATTGTGATAATTCAGTCTTCTTCTTATAGTGCCGTGTACCTACAGTGCTTTGGCGAATTATCTTAAGGCGTATATTTTTTCCTCTTAAAATATGGTCGAGGTATTCAATTTTTCGTACCTTGATCAAATTGAGTAGTTCTCTCTCAGTATTTGCCCTTCTTAAGACTTCCTCGTTTCTCACCCTATCTATCCATGTTATGCGAAACATTCTTCGCAACATCCACATTTCGAAGGCCTCCAACTTGGTCATTTATCATCATTCCTAAGTATTTAAACGTTTTCACTTGATCGATTGGAGCATTATCTACTTGCAGTTGTATTCTTACATTAGTAATAATTCAGTAGCTGTCTATAAAACTATATTTTACTCCACGACTTCAACATTTTATTTTATCATCGTCGATCGGGAAAAATCGGACACAGAGAATTAGAAACAATTCGAAATTATAATTACATTCGAATTGTTCAGTACCATAGTTAATAAAAGTGTACAAAACTGTTCAGAAAAACGTATTGATGTAGTGGAATAAAGTAATTTTCATGTAAATAATACGTGTATGATAGGGTTAAAGAACTTCATTGGGAAGAATTTTTGGATACAATTTGAGACAACTTGCCTTAAAATGACACCTACAGTTTGCAGATTTTTTTAAGAGCAGTTTGAAACTTCAAAATTTATTTAATTTAATATTGTTTTTTATTGCACCTTGATTTTTTATTATTAAGCATGTACTTTTTATTATTATTGCACTTTTATTTTTATTTCCTTTTTTTTTCTTTTCGTTTCGTAGGTGTTTGTGCAAATAACCAATTCCAGTGTATTGATAATTTCAACTGTATTTCCCTGAGTTTGCGCTGTAACGGCAGGAATGATTGTAATGACGGTTCTGATGAGTATAATTGTCCAACTCAACCACCAACTTTTCCTCCAGAACCTCAACCGGTTAGCTGTCCCGAAGGTCAACTGCCTTGCAAATCTCAACCAGATCAGTGTGCAAGATATTGCGATGGTAGAGCTGATTGTAACGATTTCTCAGATGAAACTAACTGCTGTAAGTATTCCGTATTACTTTATCACTGAAATAAGTCAAATAATAGTCAATGTACTTGTTCACAGCTAACAAGAATCGCGCGAAATGCATTAACGCAACATTAACCGTTTCTGAAGATTCCTAAATTTTATACGAATATGTTTGAATTATAGCTGTAGCTGATACGTTTCATGAATTTGTTTTTATATCTGATTCTCATACAGAACGCTAGTTACAAGGTTCGTACCAAGCATTATTCAACATAACTTTTTTAAGGGTAGGATTATTTATCAAAATTTCAAGCAAACTCAAACATAATACAATTTTTAAAATTAAATATTGTTATCCAAATGTACTAAAATTGTAGCGGTTATAATTTGCCTACCACATTCGGTATCACTTATAGGGGGTTGAAAGTGGGGACTTTCAACCCTCTATAAGCAACAAACAAAACAACAACAAAAAGTTACCTGGATTGCACTAAATTGCACTTTGATAGATTTCTGGGGTTAGAACTGGAATTACATTAGAATTGCATAGAAAAATAGATATAGCGATTACTCTTTTAAAACTGTCACATTACATAGAGTATAATTCACTATTTCAACAAATTTTGCCGGCTTCATCAAACTATATATCGACGTGTGTTCCCTTTGACCAAATCTTCCAACCTAACACTTGAATTCATTCGACTTGACCTAATACCGGCCGGCTTCTCCCCTTTTACCTGTTCTCGCAACGAAGCAACCTACAATTATTGTTAAACTGCTCCAAATTATATCGTAAAACGACCTTGAATCAAACAACTTTTAAAATTGTAGAAATACATACGTTTTATATGGATTATTTAACTTCCAGCAGCGGTAACTGGAATTTGAAATGTTGGGTCTAACAAAGGGACTCGGCAATATTTTATACTTGGCCCAGGGACGTACTAAAAATTTTTTATCTGAATAGTAGATAGTTTCAAAAAAAAAACAAAAAACATCAAAAAAACTAAATACATGGTTATAAGCAAAAATAGGATACCACCTGGTTAATTACTAGTTAACCAACAACCTATAACACAAATCACCAACTTTTGTTATCTGGGTGCAAACTTAAATGAACAGTGGGACCAATCGACGGAAATTAAGATAAGGATCGAGAAGGCAAGATCAGCTTTCGTCAAAATGAAAAAAAAAAACTTTAACAGCCACGACATAAAATTGAAAATAAAAGTTCGTTTACTAAAATGCTACGTATTTTCCGTTCTTTTATATGACGTAGAGTCATGGACCTTAACTGAAGCATCACTGAAGAGACATTTGAGATGTGGTACTATAGACGCATGTTGAGGATTTTCTGGATAGACAGAATTACCAACGAAGAAGTACTACATAGAATGGTTAAAGAGCAGGAACTAGTCGTAACCATAAAACGTCGCAAACTAGAATACCTCGGCCATATAATGTGCAATGAACAATGATATGACCTACTTTGGACCATACTTCAAAGTAAAGTGCACGGGAAAAGAGGTCCAGGACGGAGAAGAATATTCGGCTGAATAACCCGAGAAAGTGGTTTAACTTAACCACTACCGGACTTTTCAGGGCAGCAGTCAACTGAAACAGCTAGTCAGAATAGCCATGTTAGTGTCCAACATCCGTAACGGATAGGCACTATAAGAAGAAAGTAGATAGTTTATGGAATATTCTGCATGCTACAATATGTACCTTAATGTTTTAAACAATCACTTATTCGAGATAGAAGATTTAACGCTAAACGAGCGAAGTTCTTTATTTTTTATGCACGATGGATCTCCACCGCACTTTGACAGAAGGTGTAGTAATTGGTTGAATAACCATTTTCCGAATCGATGGATTAGTAGAGTAATAGAAGCTCCGATTCGTTGGCTTCCACGGTCATGCGATTTTAATCATTTGGAGTACACAGTTTGGTCGTATGCAGAAAAAAATCTATGCTACAGAGGTAAATTCACGTCAAGAATTGGAAGACAGAATTCAGCGCCACTTTAGTCATATCATAGCTGATCCCCAATCCGTTTAGAAGATTAACGGATTCTTTAGAAAAAATGACAAGCTTGCGTATCCGTGAAAACGAAGGGCATTTTAACCAGTTACTCCAATTGAATTTTATTTTGTGTTTTTAGTATTTATTTTAATTTTCTTTTTGTGACCATTTTTAACTATTAACTTTATCATTACTTTGTACCAACATCGGTTATTTACCTTATAATTTTCAAATAAAATTTTTCCGAAAACGATACACAGACATCGAGTTTTACCAAGAGTACCTTTTTGGTATAAAATTGTATGATCTTTAAGTTCACTTAAAATTTTAATTAATAATTCTACCCTTAAACAATTTGTGTTCAACGAATTCATGGAACTAATCAAGTTCCAAAACATATTCGTATAAAAGGTCATTACAATGTTGCCAATAGTTTCGGCAAAATCGTAAAAGAATGTGTAATTTTTTTTCTTCGCCTTCTTCTTCATTTCTTTATGTTGGAAACAGATGGCATTACAAAAAAAAATATGAAGCAAACCCCAATTATTTTTCAGTTTTTTACCTATTGTAGAGACAGTGTTACCTTTCTTTAAAAACACCCTATATTTACGTTAATGTTCAGCATGATACCATTGTGTGGTTTAGTTTGAGTGTTAATCAATGACGAATTAATAATTTTGTTGACTCTTTCGATTCTTTTTCAGCATTCTAGATTTTGGTTTTGTTCAGAAATACGAATCCTAACTGTATTAAACCTTTATATTTGGCTGATATTTAATTGTCACCAGTTATGTCTTGCCGAACATCCAGGAATATCTAATTTGGTCTTACTATAAATTTGTTTTACAGCAACCTCTTCAGACAACCTTAATTTGAAAACGTATCCAAGCAGTACGGAAGAAAAAGAACGTAAGTTTTGTTTTTCCTTTAGTCATAAATTATGTAAAGGTAGCAATATCAATAAATTTATTTATTTATTTCATGATACTCCTAATAATTTAAGAAATGCTTAAAGAACATGTTTATTAGTTCCGTGCAGAATATATTTTAAAAATGTTTTCCACCTTTTCACTAAGTTTCGCAAACAACACGTTTTTCTTGCAAACGAAAACTTTTTGTTTGCAAAAGTTATCTTCTTCCTATATTATGTTCTTGGAAGTTAATGGGCTTCCCAGACAAAACAATGGTTGCATCCCTTAGCTAAAGGACTCGAAAACTGTACGAGAGACTGATAAACTTCAATCAATTGACAGCAATAAACCGAAAGACATTATAGTCCTTACATCCTTATGAAACGTTATGTGACCGAGGAGAACATTCTGTAATATATATTATAAATATGCGTAATGATAAACTGTTGGCAGAAAATACTGGGACAAGGTTGATAAAAACTGCAGCCATGATAGTAAGCTTTTTATGATATAATTTTTATTGAAGATTGGTAAAAATCTCAGCAAAGTAAAGTCGATCTTATGCAGTTTGAAACAGTGAATGTAAGTTCAAACAAGTCTGAACCTTATAAGGGATTGATAAACTTTAATCAGTTTGTAACGAATATATTTTGCCTATCACATAGGTATATGATTATGGGAGTTGAAAATTGGGGACTGAAACTATTGGGGTGGAGATAGGGCCAGCAAAACAAATCGATACTTATGCGAACGGCACTCAGGGTTTCTTTGGAGAGCTGGGGTCGTGGATAAGTAAATGGCAAGGGGGTTGGATTGGGCCAACTACAAAAAAAATGAAACAAAGGGATACTAACATGAATCTCTTGGAACAAATGGGCAAACAAAACACAGGAAGGACCTCTATCAATTTAAAAAGGACGTAAAAACAGTTACAAAAACTAGACAATACAAAAATACTCAAAAGTAGACAATACAAAAAACAAAAGTAAATACAAAATTAACAAAGAGAAACACCATTGTTACAGGGCTATAAACTGTGGCAAATAAAACATTATTACAAGTAAAGAACTATATCCTTTTAAATGATGAAAGCAATTATTATAATTAAAAAAATGTCTACTTTACTTAAAACTTTTTAAACAAAAAGTTAAATTTTCACTAAATCGATTTTCACTAAATTTCTCTACTTTACACTTCTGCGGTCGGAAACTGGGCCTACTGGACTTGAAAATTTCTGGAAAAACTGGACTGGGAATCTTTCGACACATGAACAAAAAAACTGCATATCACTCTGCAAATTATTGAGGTTGTAAGTTGGGCACTCTAACACAAACATTGGAAACCTGGCTTCTTAAAAAACAGGAATAGGTACAGCTGGACACAACGACAACATGTCAAATTTTTTATTTAACTGCAACTACTCATTGAACTGAATAAACTGCTACTATTAACTTTACAAAACACTAAATTTCCATAACAAGGAAACAATAAAAAAAACCTTTACGAATCTGAAAAAAATAGGACTAAACGCTGAATCCTACCGCTCTTAACCGTGCCTCAGCGAGAGTGTCGCAATTATCTTGCCAGCATAAATTTTTCAGCGATCTAAATGAATGTTTATTTCAAACGCAGTATTGAGCGGCTTTCTATCAAAGAAAAATATCAAAGAATTACGCGTCTGTAGTATAAACAAACTCTAAAAATTTGTTTATTTTTGATCTCTGGACGCTAAGATGAATTGAAAGAATTCAGTGTTTTAATACGTACGAATAGGAAATGAAATACACTGAAATTATTCTTTGGTTATCTTATTTTAATGCATATGTAAGGGGATTCCAATTTAATACATATACGAGGGTATTTCAATATATACATCAAGAAATTTATATATCAAGGAATTTACAAATGCTACAAGTTGACAGAAATGGTCAACGGAAACGCATTACATCCTTTCTACAAATTAAAGCATCGAGGTGGAGAAGATTCTATAATAAATAGTGTATGTATAATTATGAAATGGTTGGTAGGTAATACTGGAAAGGAGTTGAAAAAAAAACTGGAACAATAAAAGCAGGCTTTTTCTGATGGTACCTTCTTCATTGAAGGTTGATAACAACCTCAGCGAAGTGACGTTCATGTTGTACAGTTTTAAAAACTGAATGTGAGTCCAAAACAGTCCAAACCATTATAGAGACTAGTCAACTTTAGTCAGTTGACAGTATTACTCAACTGAACAGCGTGAACTTATTATGTCCTTACGAAAGAACCGAAGAAAAGATTTTATAGTGAATATTATATGTATAATGATGAAGTTGTTGGCAGGTAATACGGGAAAGGGATGAAAAAATACCAAAACAATGAAAGCAGGCTTTTTCTTTTGGTACCTGCTTCGATAAAGGTTGGTAACAATCTCAGCGAAGTAACTTTGATCTTCTGCAGCTTGACGTAACGTTGAAAATGAGTACAAAACAGTCGAAACTATCTGAGAGACTAATAAACTTTATTCAGTTGACAGCTCTACTTAATCGAAAGGCGTGAAGGTATTATTCCTTTCGGAAGGTTAAAGGACCGATCAGATGATTCTATAGTAAATATTATATGCATAATGATGAAATTGTTGGCAGGAAATAAGTGAAGAGATTAAGAAAAGACTGGAACATTGAAAGTAGGCTTTTTTTATGGTACCTTCTTCATTGAAGGTTGGTAACAATGTCAAAGTGTAACAGTCATTTTAGGCTATTGTGCCGTTTAAAAGTTCTAAGTAGCTGTAAGTCCAAAGTATTGACTGATAAACTTTTATCATTTTACAGCAAGAATAAACCAAAATGCATTTCAAAAGGTAGGACCAGGCAGAAGAAAATTGCATAATGAATAATTCATTAAATTTTTCAATATTTTTTCGAAAGCCCAAAAGAGCAATGTAAGGAATGTTCAAAACTGAGTAGACGAAGGACATAGTATCTATAATTCAATTAGGAAAGGGTATTATTAATCCAACTCTTGGTAATTTTCGGTGAAATAAAGTGTTAAATGAAAGAACATTGCAATATAGAAGGATGCTCTAAAACAATTGCGTTTTTCATTATCACTTTTGACTGCGTTCTTATTCTTTATCTTCTTTTGTTTATTTTATACTTTTTTACTTTTCTGTTCTTTTAGGAAAAATCAGTCTTAAAGTTTATTATTTATAATGTGGACTTTAATTTTTAATAGTAACACAACTATTTTTAAATAATATCATGAAATAAATAACGTTAACCTTATATTTGTTTATCCTAACAATTGTTGTACTTGTATTAATTGTGTTTTTTGTGTTTACGGGGTACAGATGTTTATAAAACTGGTGAGTACTACCCTGGGTTCGTGTGCGGATTTGCGCTACAATCATTTCTTCACATTTATTTACCAACCATATTCATTCTACCAAAATCTTTCGCTATTATTAATAAATTACACCTACACGAAAAACAAATTTACAACGACAACTCCCAAACCGTAGATCCAATAAATTTCAATACCAGTCAATACGTAGGGAGTTTAGATAATCCAGTCCAAGGTTAAAAAAGAGTAGATTTTCAGGACATAAATATATTAAACCTAACACTAAGACTATTATTATTAGAAAAATGAAGATCAAATTCACCTGGTATCCGGGTTGACTGCGTCGAATTTCCGTAAACCGAGCTTTCGATTTGGTCTGTGAAGTCTTCATCTTTCGGCTTATTTCCCAAGTCTCAGCCTCCTGAGCCTCCACGTGACTTCATTTCTATACTGTTAACTGCACTACTTGTTGGGACAGAAGATGTTCCATTTATATGGCGTTTGGATGGAATTTTACGTAAAGATCCATGACAGCGAAAGCTGGATCGGTTTCCATGGATTGGAGCTGACTGGTTTCAATAAACCAATAATTATCCGACAAGTCACAGAGATATGTCTCAATAAAACAGATGGTGTCACTCGGTTGTCTTCGAAATGGAGACCTCTCCTTAATTATACTAAAATATCATCTGATTCATCTACCAATTCTGCTCCCGTCTTCAAAAATGTTCACGCTAACTACCAGCCAAACACCACCACCACCATCCGCGGTATAATTGGACTGTGTCCCCTCCCAAGAAGTAATAGTATAGTGAATATTGAACTATGTACATATGAAATGATCTGGGGGCTAATATTGTTAACATTATTCAAAAACTCGTATGCAAGAAAATGATTATTGATATCATTAATGATCCGTCAGGGATTTACTTGCGAGGATTAGAAATAAATTGCGATGTATTCAAGGCCATCTGTGCAGATTAGACAGTTGCGAAAATTATGGAAATAGTCCGTAAAAATTGGACTTAATGCTGAGCAGACAGTGCGAGAAGAAGTCTCTAGATTCAGCAATAACATGAATATACTGGTTAGGAAAGTAAACAAAAAGTAACCTGTGATTTCTTAGAAAATTAAACGAAAAACACGATAAATTTATCCATACTAATTCAAGAAAAAAAAATAGCAAATTGAATAATGTAAGCCATCTGATTACTTAGAACAAATGGGTATTGGAGATCAGGCAATAGAAAAATAATGACACAAGATATTGTAGAAATAAAATAAGATACATATTCTATTATTTGGGATTAACTATACATGTATAAACACATCATTTTTTTAATTTGGCATTAGTTTATCTCTTCGTTTTATTCCCTCATTTTGCAAAAATGTATTAAAAAAACTAGTCTAACTTTGGTGGATGAAAAAAATGGTACAACGATAAGTATTATTCCATATACAAATATAGACTTTCGCATAATTTTTTATCTAATTTATTTGATATAAATGTAGAACAAATCGTTCTATTTTTAGAACCACCATGTTCTTTTAAATAATATATATCTTAGACATTCAACGCTAAAGTTACATCATCTTTCTTACTAATTTTAATGGGCTATAATATACATGAGAGCTATTTTTTCAGTTTTGACAAACGATCACTAGATGGCGCCTTCAAAACGTCATCCATAGATTCATAGAATTTGACATTTACTATTGCAAACCTTGTATTACGTCATATAAACTTGAAAGTATATAATGTGTGTTAGTGTCAAAAGGTGATTAAAATTTAGAAAAGTAAAAGTTAATCCGCAAGTTACTTTAGAGAATATAGGAGATGGGTTGTAAAAACAGCAAAAAGAAAATGAAATGATGAAAATTTTATTTTCGGAACTTCTCGAATTATATTTTTTGGTGTTGTTTTGTCTGCAAATGCAGCATATAATAAGAAAACGATAGTAGCTGTCATCTGCTTACTGACGATACAGTCTGTCTTAATTTTAGACAAATTGTCAAGAAAAAAAAAGTAATAGTTTCTTTCAAAAGTTTTATGTCGTTTGTGAAGACTAATAACGTAGCTCTCCTAATAAATATAACCAAAAATTCGGGTATTATTTTAAGTTTACATCTCTAAGCCTCCTTGTATATAAATAGTGCAAAACCCATCAATAGTATATCTAGTCTTAAACTTTGATTTATTTTCTCTTTTAATCTAATTCTCCCTACCGATCGCTAATATTTTCAAGTATTTTGTTGTATATATATGTTCATGCTTATTATTTATTTATTTACCTACTTTATGTAATATGTTTTCAAAATTAACCTTATTTACTATCGTAGCGATGGTAAAACACAGAGCGTTTGAGTAACACAATTTAAAAAAAAAGGAATAAGAATAATCGTCCAACAGCACCTGGACAAACACAAATCATATATAAGAAATAATGGGAATGATATCAAAAGTGATAAAAAAATGAAGGAACTCAACTAATAACAGATGACACATGGGATAAGATACACTAAATGGAACACACAGAAACTCCCACCAGAACCAAATATGTAAAGCAGTATAAGATAAGAGCCAAACTAAAGCTAGATATATGTTCAACAAAAATGATCCATAGAACACGCAATTGTGCGTCAAACCGCGAAGATGTCGAAGTTGAAAACGGAACACCACTCGCTATGAGTCACACACACACCAAGTCGTTATCGTCAAAAATTTCTCTAGAAAGATCCTTTATTCCTGGTCTCGGGCAAGTGTTTTCCACCCCTTAACTATGACAGATTTTATTTCACCCAGGCATCTCTCTTGGTTTTGCTCCGGTTCTTCCGATCGTCTTCTTGCCTGATCACATGCCCTTTCACTCTGAGACGTGATACCTTATTGAATTTCTCATTCGTCTTCCGATAACTTCTATAAAATTGTGAAAAGTCCCAACAAAGTGTCTCTTCGCCAAACTGTAAAACTTCTTAATCATAACTCCACTCCGTCCGAATATCCTACAGACATTATTATTTTTATTACCATCTGCATTATCTTTCATTACATGTTGAAAAGCCTTCTCACGCCACAATTGTCACGTACCAATCCCTGCTTGCCAAGTGCGTATATTCTTTATTCTAATACGCTAGCCCTTTACTAACAAGCTATAGAAATACAATATAGATATCCTCTCATTGCAGTTTCATAGAAACTTTTTATTATTACTCCACAAGTTGTACCACCCAGGGCACAATCCTAGTTGTTTTAAGCTCTATTCTATTCGCTCTCAGTTTTTAAGCATATCTTCACCCTTCTATGTAAGTTAACATAGGCCTTATTGGTGTTAAGCATATGATGACGTTTGAGGTCATTTGTGCACTTAGATCGTGATGACTCTTAGACAGCACTATTTTTCATTAAAGGTCTTAGCTGATGTTGTTGTATTTATTCAGTAACGAGCCTAGATATGTGTTCATAGCTTCAAGATCCCTTCCTCAATTCTTAGTTTAGGAATCTGATTAATTGACTTAAAAGAACACAGATACTTTGTAGATAATGAATGTTGTGAAAAATAGATACAGCTGTTGCACAAGAGCTGGGCATAGTTCAAAGTAAAATGGAAGAATCATTTAAAATGTGCTAAATCCATAAAACCACTGTTCCAAATAATATGCCCATTGCGTTGATTTATATTTTTGATGAGATTGGACCGGATGATACACTAAATCTGCCACAAAGCGTGGAAAACGAGCACGTGACTCGAGGACCGGACAAAAATTACTCTTACACATAATACTAGAAAGAATCTGTGCTTAACTAATTATATGAAACCTTTGTGATTAGTAAACAGGAGGAAGTTGTGGCAGATTCTCTCCGATCTGGAATATCCGCATCATCTGGTACTACTGATGTAAAATCTACACATAACCATGCTAGTGCTAAAACAAACGAAAAACTGAAAAAATCTCATTTACTTTTATATACTCTATTTTGTTCAATATATATGCTCAGTTTTTTAGAAGATACACCTAGATATTATCGTTATTTCAGTCATTCTAAAGTCTTTCTAGCAAAAACATATTGGCCATTGAAGAATTTCTACCTTAAAAACAAATCACATCTGGTCCCACAAAGAAACAGCTGTGAGCTAAGTCGAAGACGAACCAAATAACAAAAAAATTTATATAAAGAAAAAACATGTCGAATTTCGTTTCTAAGTACCACTGTCAATTTTGCTGACAGCCCAGCTTACAGTACAGGTCGCTTTGTAAGTAGTCGATGCATATAGTCTGTTGGTCATCTTCCATTCAAACCTAATCTAGCACATATAGCATTTCGTTAGTAGGTGAAAAGAGCAGGAAACTGAATAAAGTATGTAGTTCTGTCACTCTGTGTTTTACCAAAACAAATATATGTGCATGATAAGTTGGTCCTAAGTAAGTACAATGTTGTATAGTGGAAACATGCGCTATTGATAATTTTCAACAAATGTTTAAACGACATTATAACTTTAATAATACTTAGAGATTGATTATTAATTTATGAAGTTTAAACGTGTCTGCATAATTTTTTTGTATCGTTTTAAAATCGTTAAAAAAACTCAAAGCATACAATTATACAAAATTTATATAATGTCCAAAAATTCTGTTTTTCTCAATTGTCGGTTGCTTTGTCTCGATCTTTGAGGGCATCAGCCATATAACACCCGTCCAGAATTACGTCCTGAAGAGAGTTAATCTCGTGATATTAACATCAAATTCTGATTTTTTGTGTGATTCTTGTTATATTACTAATGGTGGTATTTTCTATTGGTAATTTCTTATTTCAATATTGATAGCTGCAATTTGTTTTATCATTTCCTATTGTGCTACATTTCTTATTTCCAACTAGATATTTCTAGTTCGATTATTGATCATCACTTTGATCTTCTCTGCACGTGTTCCAAATTCGTCTGTTGATAATTCTAATATTAAATTATCACTATCATACTGTGAGTAATAAATCTTGGACAAAGAGAAACCAATCCCCATTTGACTAGCGAATACATTATCATGTACATTATATAACTGCTTTTACCTGTGTTTCCACTTTACTCTTTGTAAATATATACAGGATCTATCATATTTACTTACCAAAAAAACTCATATATTTATCTAATATCTAGGACAAGAAGTTGTGCTCACTTGCAGAGACGAAGGACAGACCAGAGCTCAAGTTTATTGGGCCAGAGCCAACGGAGCTCCTCTACCACCCGGTACCACCGACGTCCACGGTCGACTTACCATTCCCAACATCCAACTGGAGCATTCTGGAACTTACCTGTGTATAGCTAGAGGCTTTCCTCCCAACGCACCAGGTACCAGAGCTTCGGTACCGGTCACCGTAGTAAGAAGTAAGTATTTTTTTAGTTTTTAATTAAAGAGTAGACATTAATACCGAATTGAGGGTCATCATAAAATAAATTTGTTTGTATTGTTTGTGGTTGTATATTATAGAATGGCAATACAGGTTTTCTCGCACTAACCATTTTGGTACCGAAAACAATTTAAAATATTTCTATATATTGTACTTTATTACTTGTTAATAAAATAAGCAAAACATATCAAGTAGGCTACTAACAGTCTTTATATACACTTAATGCTACCTTTGGTGATGCAGCGAGATTTGGATCTAAACTCTATCCCACGCATTCTAAATTCGGCATTTTACCGCCACTTCATACCAACTATAGAGGATCAGGTACTGTTCACCATAAAAACTAAACTTTACGATATATTAATATTTTGTTCTGTATTTAATGCTCTCCACTATTGCTATGTGGTAAGTATCGTAAAGATTTTTGTCGTTTGTTCATTTATGATCTGATTTTCTTTGTAGCTGTGTTTTGTTTTACAATTAAAAAGATATCTACTATTTTTAATGGAAAATAATAAGAGTTTTAACTGATAATATGTTTATTTTGATGAAGTGGATATCTAAGCGTTAAAATAAATGTGTTGTCCATTAAACTTGTTGTTAGCTCCCATTAAAAACAGTAGATAACATAAAAACGCCATTAGAAAACAGTTATAACCAAAGTTAAAAGATATTATCGTGTACTGAAATGTATTGGATATATTATACTGATGGCCAAAAAAAAACGCAACACTTTGTATACAAAAAATTTAAAATGCCACAAGTTCGCGGTCGTTGGCAATTTCGTCATAAGCTACTTCGAAAAAGGACACATTGGGGGCATGCAAAAGGCCAATTTTAGTTTACAGAAATAACACGAAGTTTCAAAAAGAGTTGAAGTTAATCCATCAACGGTGTTAAGAGTTTGGGGGAGATGGTCCCATGATGAAACTTATCGGCCTTGGGGAGGGTCTGGACACGCTAGAATATTAAAAGGCCGTGATTTGCGCCACCTTAGACTTCTTGCTCTTAAAAATAGACGGGACAGTGTACATCAAGTAAGAAATGATTAAGTTGCAGATGCAGGAAGGGTAGTCCCAAGAAGAACAATGAATCAAATATTACTTGAAATGGGACTGAGAGCTTACCGTCCGCTTTTGGTCTTACCTATGACACCACAACATAAAATCGATATTTAGAATGGTGTAGATCTTGGCACAACTGGAATGGCCAATGGAATTGATGCCTTTGATGAAAAATTCTTTTTGTCCACCGGTCATGAACCGATCTTGCTACATGACCTGCCCAGTTCCACTTTAGTGTTGTTATCCTTTCAATAACGTCTGCTACTCCTGATCTTTTGCGTATAGTAGCATTGGGTATTCTATCACGTAGAGAAATCCCTAACATTATTCTCTCCATTGCCCTTTCCGCAACTTGTAGTTTACTTACTGTTGTTCTTGTGAGTGTTAGGGTTTCTGCGCCATATGTCATCACTGGCAAAATACACTGATTAAATACTTTTCTTTTCAGAGACATTGGAATCTTAGACCTAAAAATATCCTTCATCTTTCCAAATACAGCCCAAGCGAGGTTTATTCTTCTTTTCAGCTCGATTGTTTGGTTGTCTCGACTTATTCTGATCTCATGGCCCAAGTATTTATAGGAGTCAACTGGCTCAATATCTTTGTGTTCTACTGAGATGTTTTTGTTGTGGACTAAATTTGTCATAAATTGTGTTTTTGAAAAATTCTTCGCACCTTTTACCAAGGATCAGCTCACTGCCGGGGACTGAGGGCCGTGTATTTGTCGTATCAAGCATGCTTGGATTTTAGCCATACTCTACTGCTGGCCAGTGCGAGTTGGTAGAGGGTAGGATGAAGGTCGGATTTTTAAAAGGGAGAGATAGGAAAAAGGTATGAGGACCTGGCCCCCTCAGGCAGGGAAGGAGGAAGAACCAGAAGCTAGCATAAGGCAGGGTCACCTATTCCTGTAGCAGCCTGTCTTCTACTGGGATTGTAGAACAGTGCTACCTGCTGCCTCATACCACCTATTTATAACTTTATTCTGAGAAATAGGTCGGCAGAACATTTTCTGAAAAAGAGTTTGCGTTGTTTCGGAGGAACCATTCGTGTAAGTTAAGGTTCTGTTAAGCTAAATGGTATTACCGAAGCTAGTTCTACAATTTCTGGCGATATAAAAGTAAAAATTCTCCTTTTTTATCGATCCCACCGAAGATCTTGATATAATAAATACACAGATACTAAAAGCACATTTCATTCTCCTTGTTTAATATACATTTGGCATATTTGCCAAAGTGTACTTATTTCCATTGTTTGAATATTTTATGCTTTATTTAATACTGGGACACTGATAATATGTTAAAAATTTAGGACCAATTCGACCACCTCTACCACCCTCAGAATGTAATCCGGTGTATGAAGCAACTTGCTCTAATGGAGATTGTATACCAAGATCAAAGCTTAGAGATGGACACTTTGACTGTTCCGACGGTTCCGATGAGGACGGTTACAGTAAGTATATCAGATTTTATCTGTAATATAAATACTTTTATCGGCTGCGAAAACTACTCAACATAAAGCATAGCAATATTAGGAAATTAAACGTACATTTTTTTATTTGTATTATTTATCAAGCTGTAGAATTTTTAGTAGTAATTCGTGTTCCCATCGAAGAATTAGTTCTAGACTGATGTTTTTTTAGTTTATCCTATCGTTAATCTTTTATATTTTAGGGCCTGGTGGTTGTGAACCCAATGAATTCCAATGCGACAACAAAAAGTGCATCCTTAAAACCTGGATGTGTGACTCTGATGACGATTGTTCAGACAATTCTGATGAAAAGAACTGCGCCACAAATCCTCCTGGATCAATGTGTCAATACCATCAGTTCGCTTGTCATTCGAGCAACCAGTGCATTCCAAAAAGTTACCACTGCGACATGCAAAGCGATTGTGTAGATGGAAGCGATGAAGTTGGATGTTGTAAGTAGATTTAGATCATTCATATTTTTTTTATATAATTTATAGCATCAGGGGCCCGTAACCAAACTTATTTATTATTATTAGACTTATTTACAGTGTTTTATTCTATTTTTTTTTTTTTTGACCAAGTTGTTCATTTTCAATTGATTTTTTAACGAAGTAACCCTTTCATTTAAACTTAATTTTTGCGTTCTGGGTATAGCTCTTGAAATATAGAGCTCTGGTATAGTTCTTGGAAATCAATAATAGTTATTCATATTTACAATTTTAGCTAAACCTGTCATATCCAGACCACCTCCACCAATGGTATCTCTAAACGTAGGAGAAATCTTCGAAATTTCCTGTACAGCTGTCGGAATTCCCACCCCCGAAATAGTCTGGCGTCTTAAACTGGGGCCACGTACCAGCCAAGTGTAGAATGACCAGCAGTAACGGTGTTGGTACCTTGATTTGCGAAAATATCCAAGTGGAAGATCAAGGAGCTTACTCCTGCGAAGCTATCAACATTAAGGGAGCCACTTTTGCCGTACCTGATACGATACTCAGTGTGAAACGCGACAATCCTTGCAGACCAGGGTACTTTAATGTACAAGCCAGAAACGAAGGAGAATGTATTAAATGTTTCTGTTTCGGACATACTAGCAGCTGTAGATCTGCTGATCTATTTACATTCCAAGTAAGTACACGCAACCAAAGTTTTTTACAATTTAGTCTGTTTTGTTTTGGTTCCTATTAGGTTCTATTTTATTTAATTATTATAGTTCCAACCACCATTCGATGCATTCAAGATGTTAGGAGCCCGCGTAGATCCATCAGGATCTGTCGATTTTAGAGACGAACCAATCTATACGGGAGCTGAACCCTCATTAACTCCATTAGGTCCACAAGGTGTCCTAGCAACTGTTCCCTCAGATTCTAGATTAAGCCAACTGAACGTGATTCCATACTTCACTTTACCCGAAAACTACAATGGTAATCAACTGAAGAGTTACGGAGGATATCTCAATTACTGGATCAGACATTCCAACAGAGGAACTCCACTTCAAGGACCCAACATTATTATAAGCGTAAGTAAATATTTGTCTTAGTTATAAAGATACTAACAGTAAACTTCTAGGGAAACGGATATACCCTTCTGCACAGCTCTTCTCACTCACCGGCACCAAACACTGACGAAAACATCAGAGTACGATTCTTCGAAGGCGAATGGGTCGAGAGATCGCCAGGTTCCCGCGAAAAGGTCGCTACTAGAGAAGAAATTATGATGGTGCTCGAAAACGTCGACAAAATCTTGATCAAGCTTCAGTACAACGAAGGTACGCTAAACACCAGCATTACTAACGTCGAAATGGACTCTGCCGGTATATCTAATGTCGGACTTGGACCTGCTAGTTACGTTGAGGAATGTAGTTGTCCTGTTGGTTACTCTGGAACATCTTGTGAGGTAAGAAATTCGTCTTTTTACTTAAGGATGCTGATTTATTTTATTTTGTAAGCATAAATGAATCCTACTGTTTCTACAGTTGACACTTGACATTTGTTTGGCACATAACACAATTATTGACTGTTAACAACTTTCGACACTTGACGTACATGCCAATTATTTTGTAACACTTTTGGATTTTTATATTATTCTAAGTATAAATTAGGGTATATAATTGAGATTTGTTAACTGTTGACACATTAGACATTTGACATATATACCTATTGTTTTGTGTAGCTTTTAAATATTTATTATGTTTCTAAGGATACATTGGCGTATATAATTTACATTTAACATCAAAAATTGTTGACGTTTGATATTTAACGTACAAATTAATTGGTCTGTGGCACTTTTAAATGTTTATTTTGTTCTTATTAACTATCTGCCTATATATTTTGTATATAATACGAAAAAAATTCTAATAAATTGAATTTTATCTGCCTCATACATATTTACAATTGAGAAATAAAGTAGATGGATTTAAATGTCAATATTTTAAAATTCGTTCCTCTGACGACTTACTGGACGATAGTTCATAATTAGATAGAACAGAATTAAAAATTAAGTTAACATTTACTATCTACATTTTTTGACTGTTTGACACTTGACGTAAGTGCCAATTATTTTGTGACACTTTATATATTTTGTTTCAAAGTATAAATTTTTAATATTAATTGTCATTTAACATACCAATTTGTTGACTGTTAATATTTGACACTTGACGTACCTATTTATTGTTCTGTGGAACTTCGAATTCGTTATTTTGTTACTATGTATATTTGTATTATAGAAATGTGCACCTGGATTCTCACGTCAAAGAAACGGACCATGGTTGGGATTGTGTACCAAAGAACCAGTCCAATGTCCTCCAGGCATGTACAACGACGGAAGAGAATGTCAAGTGTGCCCATGTCCACATACTACGCCCGAAAATCAGTAAGTACCACAGTAATTGCTACCACAATATTACGTTTATCTTAGTTGTGATTCTTGATATTATACCAAGATTAAAAAATAACAACTCAGAACGTCAGTGGCAGATTTTTAAAACAGCAGTTATGGAGCTATAGCAAGATACAAAGAGCAAGACTGAATGTGAAATGAAAAGTATATTATAAACAAAAATAAGGTAGGTAAAAGTAGCGTAATATTCAGAATGATGTAAGTCAATAGAGAACGGAATATCGCAAATATGTTGTTGGACAGAAAGGGAAAGATGATTATGGAAACAGAAGAAAAATTATATAGATTACTAAAACAGAGGTTATTTATCCAATAAGATTGATCATAACTGATAAATATCCTTGCTTAGATCAAATACCCAACGAGTTATTAAAGTATAGGTACGTATCAGAGAAGCATGATTTGCTTGTTCAAAGATTCTGTTAACTTGTAATTAGTTCGAAGATTACATGAGGTTATTTAGAAATTCTATTATATCACGGATTAATTGTCAAAAATGCGCAAAGACAAAATAGAAGGCAGAAATAGTGTCGAAAGACGAATATCTTGGAATCTATTATGTCTGTCTCTGTCTCCTTGGATCGTGCTTTCATGTTATATTGTCACTCCGTGGTCGGCTCACATTTGTTTTTTCTGACGGCTATTTGTTTCTTGCTATATTGACCACCCTATCGTCTGACATTTCCTACATGATTGTTCGATTCTCTCTTCTTAGTCAGTATCCACTCTATTCTGTTTTGATTCCGTCACTTCTTTTTCGATCCCTTAGGGTGTTTTCCGTGACTCCTCATAGTATTTGTATATATGTTGTCTCTGTGTCCGTGATGTGCCTTATAACAAATATTGCGTCTATATTATAATCTTCCGAATCGTTAAGAATCTTGCTACTGAAGCCTTGTTGTTCATCCTCAAGTGATATTCTCTCGTTTATTAATTTGGTTATCATTTTTGTCATTAGGTTCAGCGAGTTATTTAATATATTGATGTCTCCATAGTTTTTCTGTTCTTTTCTGTCACCTTTTTAAACATCAGGACGAGTACGCTTCCTTTTCTTTCTTTGGGTACCTTATTTATAATATTATTATTTATTAATGAGCTGAGCTACTGGGTCTGTCATTAATGATCCGCAACATTTTAATAGTTCATTTGGTATTCCATCCATGCCTGCAACTTTTCTGTTGTTTTATTTTCTTTGCGCTTATTTTTTTACTGTGCTTATTCTGGTTTGTTTATAACTTGTAATTTCCGGTGTTTCTGATTCTACTGGTATCGGTTTGTCTTTTCAGTACAGTCTTTTCAAGTAATCTATCCTTGTATATATCTCTATGACTTTAACCTTTACTATTTCCCTCATTTCTTGTCTCTGTACTTATATAAATCTCCATATTTCCTTTTGTAGTCCATAGAAGTCATAATTCAGATCTTTTAAGAAGTTTCCCAGTGGTTGTTTTTGGTTATTCTAACAAAACCATGTGCCTAATTGCAAATTCTCTTTCAGATATGCTTTTTTGCTTCGCATTGTTTTTGTACTTCCTTACATTACCATGGCAATTTGTTGTGGAATTTTTTATTCTTATTTATTGTATTTTTGCCAAAAGATGCTTTTGCAGCATTTAGAATATTTTAAACCAGCTTTGCTTTACTCCATCATCAAGAATGGTATGATTGTAGGTCAAAACAACCCTATAAAACAGTTGGTTTATGATGATTGTGAACCGGAAATGAAACCTGAGGAAGAAAAATAATCATAAGAAAAAGTTTCTCATAGAAAGTGACCCAAATTGGTTGGAATTTACCTTTAAAACACACATGTTTAAGCATGTAGAAAATATCTACAATAGTTTAATAAAGCTGCGTAACTGTAAAGCCATAGATTTTTGATAAATGTTATTATATTAATAATTTTCTACTTCCTATATCTTTTTTTATTTGCGCCAAGCTTCTTCGCAGTAGTCGAGTAAATTTAAAAAAAAGTGAAACACATTTACTTTCGCAAATTTAAAATGTTTTAAGCATTTAAGTGTGCAATTTGCATCGTAATAATAAATATCGTTATTTATCACATAAATATTTTCAGATTCGGCAGAACCTGTCAACTAGGTGCCGACGGCGACGTCGTCTGCAACTGCCCACCAGGTTATGTAGGCAACCGATGTCAGTCTTGCGCCCCAGGATACGAAGGTAATCCTCTAGTTTCCGGCGATTCTTGCAAGCCTGTTAGACCACCACCGCGACCATATTGTGACCCCGCTGGATCAGTTGACACTAGACCCGATCAGTTCGGACGTTGTAGATGCAAGGTATTGTAATGTTTGATATTTTTTAGCTCAAGTACGTTTAAGCACTTTTAAAATAGATTTGATTTAAAACTTGAGATACTAAAACCTTTGGTATATATAAATATTTGTAAGAGAATGGTATAAGTTTAATTTGATTTGGCACCGAACAAAAATATGATACTTAAGTCTATGCACCATCTGCGGGATCTGATGTTAGACGAAATAAAATTGGTAAAGCTTAAACTTACATTAAGTTGCTGAAACGACTTGGTTTTATTGCCCATAAGCACAGAACCTTCGAGTTTTAAGGGCAAAAGAGACTTTACCTTAAAGAAATTTATTTTCCGGAATATTTTTTTCTCTGGCTTAAGTGCTCGAATTACAAGCTATCGAATTCTGTGAGAAAATTTGAACTTACTAAATAAAAACATTTCAATACACGGTAAATAAAAAATTTAATTTAAGCGGTAAAAACATGCTACAATCTTTTGGTGGAATATTTTCAGAATCTGTTATTCTATATTTAATCCAGTAGTGGAATTATTCGAACCGTTATTGGCAAATAAACGTTGAAATGTTGTGGTGCTTTTTTATTCTACTTGTTTATGTTTCTCTGGTGCATTTCTCTGCTAAATACCTGGCACATAATTTAATGACTTATGCATCTATTTATACACTGCTCACCAAAATTAACGAATAAGTTTAAAATTTTAATTCCAGTTTCAGGGTAAACCCCAAAATTTTTTTGAAACGAATGTCATCCGAATACTTTGCGTGCTATTCAAATTATCTGGATAAAAGGCAAATGAGATTGATAACTTCCTGATTTATGCGGGCCACTCTAGATATATCCAATACAAATGGATAAAGCAGTATATTTTAAACTTTGGTATAAATAATATTACTTACATTTAAATTTTATTTGCTTTACATCCTTTACAAATCATAATAAAATTGGATACCAAAATATTATGGCACCTCACCATAAGCGGCTGTTATAAAAATTGTTTGTTAGTTTAGCTTGTCTTTGAGTAACATCTAGTGTGGCAATCAAGCTGTATAGCTCAGTTGATTCTATATTGTCCAGAAAGACGTAAATGTTTTCTTCGGTCATCTGCACATTGTAATTTTATCAGCAGTATGTCCATCATCAATAAAAGAAATGATTATGAATAGAATGTGATAATATACTCATATGGAATCTGACATGTGCTTGTTTGATATGTTGAATTCCGATATATTATAATTAATATATCGAAAACACTTTACTCGAACATGAAAAATACTGGCCGCGTAATGCAATACTCAACCAAGCGCCAAAATTGATTTTGAGAATTTGACTTCAAAGTTTTCACTCTATTAAAATTCAGTATAGGTATGTTACAATAACCGTAATTTTTTGATTTCGAAGACAGTTTTTATGTTTTCTCTATGTGCGAAATAGTAACCTGCTAATGTTAAAGAAAAACAAAAAAAAATAAATAAAAATGCTTTTGGTCGACTTACGATTTTCGCCATATTGTGGAATTGTGTTATAGATCATTAGACCAAGCGACATGGGTATGACAATAAAAGTCGTTGTTTTAAATATTTTATATTACTTAAGAAATTAATCAAAAATATAAAAACAAACTGCAACTCAGTATTAACAGTAGGTACAATTTTCTGAATTTTATGAATATAGTAAATAAAAATTACTCATCTCGTATGTGTCTCCGTCAAATCCGTCAATGTCATCTTCTACTGTATTGTTGCTGAAAAGGGAGCGATACAAAGGTTTTGCATTATTTGGTATTAGGTGCATTAAAGATCGTCGTTAAGCTTAGGCACAGAAAGTGGCTTGCCTATGGGCCAAAGAGGAATCAAGTGGTTACTTAGAAATTGCATTGCAACGGGTCGTCCTTTTGAAATTTCTTGTGAAGATCTACTTGAACTTCACTAGTGTTAAAATCAGTTTTTTATAAAAATACTCAGTAGTTTATCCTTTCTTATTTAAATTTCTCTTGTTTTAATCCAGGTTAACTTGCTGTTTTCTATGTCTCATGTACAGTTTGTAATTATAGTTTCCAACTTCTTTGTTCCAACTTTGTTGAATTCTTCATTTTTCATTATGTGAACTACTAGTGGGTTCTTTTTACGGGATTTCTTCATCACGTTTAGGTAATCGTCAACAGTGTATAAACGTTGTTGAAATTTTAGGGCATTTTCATCTCCAAAATCACTATCATTCGGTAAAAAACTATGACCAGGAAAGAAATAGCGTAATGTAATTTTTTCAATCGTAGGATCAGTTTCTAAAATCGTTTTCAGAGTCAAAACTATTTTGATGTTGCGGTTTTGGCTGCCACAAGAGTCTGACCAAAAAATTACATGTTTTGCAGAGTTAACATGTTCTTCAATATGTTTTTTAAGACAACTGCCTACTTCCTGGGCTCCCGGACCAACTTCACCTTCTATCCAAACATAACAATGACTTTTGTTATTCTTGCTGCTATGGATACCAAGGTTGTAAATACATAATTGACGCTTATAATATACGATATTTGTTGGAATTCTCGAAAGGGGAAGAGTTTTTTCTAAATCAAAACAAAAGGTTTTCACTTCTGGTTGATCGTTGCTCATCTATATGTCTAGATTTATTCTAGATTGTGCATTTTCAGCTTCTTACAAGTGCACATTTTTTTCTTTCTTAAACTTGCTTAATTGTTTGTTATCTGCGTAATTTTTAAGTTCTAATTAGAAACAATCACATCTACTACAAGTATCTTTTTTCAACTTTTTTTTTGAAAATTAAATCATGTTAAAAATATTTTTTTGTAAAACGAAAATTTAACAGGATTATCATTGTCTGCTTCTTCAATATGTAATTCATACATTTTACTTAATGTTGTTTATTGTGCTAGGTATTCTCTTTCTATGTTAGCTCTTCTGAATTGTTACTTATACTGTAACCTAAACGCCTCAATGCCAAATATTCGATTTACAATCATCAAAACACTCGCAATAGACACTTGGTCTACTGATGCATAACTAATACACAAAATTAGTCGCTTGGTCTAGTTATGCAAAATTCAAAATCCAGAATAAAAAGAAAGGCACTTGTTCTTTTTAAATATATCTGGTTAACCGTTACTTACAGACTAATGGGATTTATTCTGTAGATAGTTTTTGCTATTTTCCACCAGAAAGCACCACAATCCACAATTTGGGAACATGGCGCTTGGTCTAGTGATGCATAACGCCGTTCACCTATAATGGATGCAAATTAATTTTGTTTTAAGTTTTGAGCAATATCGATTATGACACTCAAGCTGTTGATCTTAGTTGTTTTTGAACTGTCGAACAAGACGTTAAGGTTTTTTTTCATCATTAAAATAAAGCTGTTTCATTTTCAACATTTTTATGATCCAATCTTCGACATTGAAAAGAAATATGTAGAGAATATTATAATTTGTCAGTCCGAAACTGAGTAGGATGAACAATTTCAAGTTTAAGGATAGTTGAAGCAGATACATGATTTCTACGGAATTTATCACTAAAAATATGTCCAATAATTCACATAAGTACCAGAAGAAAATTGGAAACAAAATTAAAATCATAAATCACTAAATCAATCATAAAAAAAGGAGGTTGCCTATTCCAGTTCTCAAATATTTATTATAATCTATCCACAGTCAAGAGAGAGCGCTAAGTTTTGTAGAAATAAAAAGTACAGGCAGTAATATGAATTGCAATGCTATAAAGTGCCCACATACGGTTCTTACACACAAATTTTATCAATTTAGTTCTTCTAAACAGAGACAAGTATCTCACAAAAACCTTATTACGAATTTTTAAGTTGACAATTTTTTTTTCTCTATTTCAAAAGTGCTTATTCATGGTAAGAAAGAATAACAATAGTGTTCAACGTAACTTTCATCGTTTGTTCTAACATTTATTTATTTTTTCACGCTGTGCTTTTGGAAACGTACGGTAAATATCTAATTGTGAAAGTATATTTGGGTGAATTTAAAAAATATTCAGTGTAGAAGTGAAAAATGGAGTTTTTTATTTGAAAATATTAAGTATTTAAAACAGTGTACACTTATCAGTATCATGATATATTATTGAGCTTAGTTCTATTCTTCTTCACTTCTTATTCTTATTGATTATACACTTTGTCTTTTAATATTTTCTCTTCTTTTCCTTTCCTTCCTCTTTTTGTTTCATATAGTTTATCTAGTATTTTGAACATACTTGCATGTTTATCTTACTTTACTTTTACCTTTCATGTCCTAATTTTAATGTTCGTGCCAATACTGGCCTAGGTCCAAAGCCTTTTGCTTGTTAATTCACATGTCATTGTGCATTTTGTGCCTAGCGTATCGCTTATTTAGTTTGGTTTCACAGCTATCTACTATATATTTAAATGTAACATATTCAGTTGAAATTGCGATTTGTCCATATCCAGTGCATATTTGCATATGTAATCCAGTGCATATGTCGCGTGTCACATCGACTCTTCTTCGGTTTAATGTCCATAATAACCACTTGTAGTTTGCGCCAATGGACGTCTTCTCGATATGTGGACAGTCACCCAAGGCCACATCCAGGAATATGGTAGGTTTGCTACATTTTAATATTTTAGATTTGCAATCGGCTTCGAAAAGAGGCTTCAGTTGTCTGCGTGGTTCATTCCATGAATTTGTCTGAGCTCTACCGAGAGCAGACCGCTCTACCGAAAAACAGCCGAAGAGTAGTGGCTCTTAAGAAAGCCAGTTGAGGTCCTTCACCGGCTATTGTTGAGATTTCAGAGTATTGGTGGCTCTTGTGAGTTTTTAGGTACATGTTTCTATGTAGATTAGTTTATCCGTGGGTTTGAGAGTGACACCATTCCATTGGTTTGCATAAGAGCCTTTAAGACAATTAAATTATTTGTCAAATTTCACGTGTTTGCCAAATTATTTGATAGTATATCGATGTGTTTGACGTGCAGTAGTGAGAACGTGAAGTTTGACAAACAAATTTGATTATTGCAGGGCTGTTTAGAGTCTCCTGTTTACTTGGTGGGTGGCAAACTACTAATGATGCGGGCCACGACGGTAGCCTGAGTCAGGCCATTTTTTCGTCATTTCCATCGATTCTGTATTTTCCTCAGCATGACATACAATCGACTGTTTTGCAACAAAAACTGACAATTTTAAATATGCTGTATATCTAGTTATTCTTTACCTTTATATTAAGCATCGGGAACCGTAAATAGGAAGCAGGAAAAGAGGGCAGGGATCAACAAAACCAAAATAATCAAGGAGAAATGAATAAAATATTTTGATAACTACTATAATAAACATAAAAGAAATGGGTTATTCTCAAAACGTTTAGTCATGGTACAGAATTTATATAATTTTTGCATTTTTACTACAAGAGAAACTTTCTATTTGTGGCCATATCACAATGTCATTACTAAAGTGTATAGCTCGATAAATAATATATATTAAATATTTTGTTAATGCTTATCAACAAATTTTTCTTCGCAGAATTTGGTAACTGGTCCTACGTGTAACCAATGTAAGGCCAACTCTTTCCACCTGAGCACCCAGAATCAATTCGGATGTGTCTCCTGCTTCTGTATGGGAGTATCTTCGCAATGTTCAAGCTCCAATTGGTACAGAGAACAGGTAAGTTGAAAACAATTACAAAAGATATTAATAGTGTGAAATCTCTACTTACTAAACACCTAAATCACCTGATTAAAACAAGATGATACGTTAGTCAGGAAAGAAAGTAACAATTATTCTTTTTATAGGTATCCAGCATCTTCGTGTCTTCACAACAAAACTTCCTAATTGTCGGCAACTCTGACAGAGAAACCCCGATCACACAAGGCATACGATTAGACTCCCAAAGCCGTCAAATTTCGTACAGTGGATTCAGATCTTCCGATGTGTACTACTGGTCGCTTCCATCTCGGTACTTGGGCAACAAGTTAACGTCCTACGGTGGTTACTTGAGATACTCTCTACGTCACACACCAATACCGGGTGGCCAGAGTTCTAGAAACAACGCAGCCGATGTCGAACTCGTCAGTGTAAGTATTTTCAAGAAATTTATTATTTTTCACAATCTATACTGACAACGATAAAAAAATATTAAAGAAATATAATAAAACAATCCATTTTTTTCGGTAGTTGGTTATTTTTCTATAAATTCAAGTAACAATGGTTTCTAACCTAAATGTTACGATGATCTGCTTCTACTACGAACAATTATAAAATTGCATACTTTTGTTATATTTGAAATGACATACGTCATTTATCACTTTTTCCAACTACTGAAACACTGACATCAAATAACGTCAATACAATAATACATGCAGTAGCGCACCTAGAATTTTCCTCTGGGAGGGGGTTTTGAGTTGGGCCATTTTAAGTCCTTAAAATTTGTAAGTAACAGTGTCGGAATAGGGTCCGGGTGGGGGGGTTGTAACCCCCAAAACCCCCCTGGGTGCGCCACTGAATACATGCACCGAAATATAAATTATAATAATACTTTTAGTGTTAACGTACCATTTTTAATTGTTTGTCTTTTATAGAAAAACAAAATCAATCTTTTGTACTACAACCGCAACCAAACTCAACAAAATCCAAACGCGCCCCAAACTTTCGCAGTACCCGTATTGGAACAGTATTGGCAGCGTATCGATGGACAGTTGGCCGATAGAGAACACCTTCTTATGGTCCTGGCCGATCTTGAAGCTATCTACGTCAAGGCTACTTACTTTACAAACACCCAGGAGTCTTCGTAAGTACAATCATTAAATTATTTGATTAATTTCCGGGGTTGTAGAATGTGATTTGGTGTATTATTTCGTTGCTATATTTCGCCTGCAGCTGCGGCAGATACAACATCGATTGGCGTGTATTTCTGACTGGCTCCTGGTCGTTGATCGAGTTCTTTGAGAAACTGTATTTATTGTGAACGCAAAGCGTATTATATGGTTACCAAAAATAAACTTGATTAAGAACTCTTATCTCTAAGGGAAGTATTCTCTTAGGGAAATTGGTTCCTCCTTCAGAGCTTCAAAAAGAGTCCACTAACCAATAAATATTCTGTATGGTATTAAAACTTATAAATGAATCGCGCCAGTTAGGTATACAGTTAAGATTAACTTTATTTTATTCCAAAAGTGAATACAACTGACAGTTTACATTTTACCAATCTTAACTTCATGTAAATGACCGATGGCGCCAACATTTAAATTTTGTTTAGTTGATATTAATATTTTAACACCACCACTTATCAATAAAACAAAATTTATAGGTTACCTATACCAAACAGTTTCAATAATCTGTGCAGCTTTTCAGCAACTAGACATTTAGTAAACACATCAGCTGGCATAACATCAGTAGGCATATATTTTACATTAATAATTGTGTCAGATATTAGGTCTCTCAAAAAATGATATCTTACATCAATATGCTTACTTCTTTTATGATAAATTAGATTTACTAAGTTAATGCACTTTTATTATTGTTAAATAAAGTAATACATTCAGTTTTTTTTAATGAGATCACTTAGCACACCCCTAAGAAAAACAGTTTGTTTAGCAGCTCCTGACAAGGTCATATATTCTGCCTCTCAGCAGATAAAGCTACCGTTCTTTGTTTTCACTTTGCCAAGATATTGCAGAGTAAAGGATCTACAATCTAATGTATTGCTTGCCCAATCGGCATCTACAAAACCTTGCAATTTTTAATCATCTTTTGAGCATATCAGATAATAATTAATAGTGGTTCAATTGGAGTTTTACCTCCTTTAACATCACTCATCTTAAATCTCTTTAACAATTCAATAAAATAGTTTTTCTGATTCAAAGCAATATAACCTTTATTTGGATCATAGTATATTTCCATTCCTAATTCTTCCTAATTCCTAATTCACTTTCAAAACCTTCCTTAATTCTACCCCAAATCTTTAATAACAAATTTACTTGTCAGCTCATTTTTTAGTCTACTTGTTTCACTTTGATCATTTGAACACAATAATTTTAATATTTTTCTCTTTTTATATAGATAGAAGGTTATGTTTTGATTTCTTATCATTCCTATTTTCCAAAACATTATTTTCTACATAATTCCAGGTCCTAGAAGACTGTTGAAGCTCATAAATAGCCTTATTTAATTTTAAACATTTGTTACCTGCTAAATCAAAACTTTCTGATGATTGCATGTATATTTTCACTTTTAAATGACCATTTAGAAATGCTGTTTTAACATCTATATGAGTAATATCCAACGTAATTTATGGAAAGTGAGAAAAGCAACTCTAAAGAAGAAGAAGAAATATCTTATTATTTTGCAAAAGTTTTTGTCTTCTAGTCTTGCGCGATATGTAATTTTATTTTCGCTATTACACTTTAACTTAAACACCCACTTATTATCAATTACACTACCATTTTCTGGCACATCTGCCACATGCATTGTTGTCACTTAAAGATTGGTGTTCATCCATCTTGGCTTCTCTCCACTTTGCTCCATCAGGACGTTGTAATATGTCCAAGACTGTTAAAGGAATATCATCTACGTCACTTGTCTCCGAACTCATATATGTTACATAATCACTAAAGTCTTTTCTTTTCCGTACTAGTTCTGACTTTCTGTTCACTTCTTGTAATGTTTCAGGTAAATTGGACACTTCAAAGTCTTTATCACTTAAGTTATCTTTCTCATAGTAGCTAGATTCTTCGTGACTAAAAATATTACCATTATCTTTAGTCTCAGTTTCAACATTATATTTGTTTTGTTCCCCCATTCAATCTATAGTTTGCCTCATATTCTTCTTTTAAATCAGAATGAATCACTTCAAACTTTTTGTCCTCCATAATTTGTACGTCTCGGCTTGCTATAATTTCTTTGATGGTTGGATTATAGACTCTGTATTATATTGTATTTTCAACATGTCCTACTAAAATTTGCAAAACAGCCTTTTTTTCCCACTTTGATCTTTTTTGTTTTGGAACGTGTACCATCACATTGCTGTCAAATATTCGAAGGCCACTAACATCAGTTACTATCTGTCCACATGTCAAACAGTGTTTTGTTTAAACCAGAAGCCAAGATTATTTTAAGTAAACAGCTGTGTTTACAGCTTCAGCCTAAAAAAATTTCTTAAAATTGACTCAACAAAGATACTTTCCTTTACAATTTTCCAATTCAACATTTCGGATACTCCATTTTGATCAGGAGTGTAGGAATTTTTTTATGGAAGACTGATTAGTGTAAGCCTGCCATCTCCCTCAATGTAGCTTCGAAATAATTTTAAATTGTTTATCCTGTGTCTAGTGTTAGTTTTTGTGTAAATGTATATAACATTCATTGATGTGCTGGATAGCCAACATATTTAACGAAAAAGCCCCTGAAAATGCTCCGAGAGCGAAAATACTTGGGCAAGATTTAATAAAAAATGCCTTTTATTTTCATAAGTTATTAGTTGTACATATCTACATCTACACATATTTTGTTTCAGTCTAATTTCTGTCTCTTTGGACATCGCTAACGAACGCAACACAGGTTCTCTTCAAAGAGCCGTGGAAGTCGAACAATGTCATTGTCCACTTGGTTACACTGGTTTGTCTTGCGAGAATTGTGACGTTGGTTATACCAGAACACCAAACGGTTTGTACCTTGGGCTCTGCGAGATTTGCGACTGTAATGGATATTCAAACGAATGTGATCCGGATACCGGACTTTGCTTGGTAAGGATAGCTATATGTAAAACCTGTTTCATGCCGAATTAATGTGTTGTTTATGATCTGTTTATGTAGAATTGCAAAGACGGCACTACTGGAGACTACTGTGACGAATGTTTGCCCGGGTATAACGGAGATCCATCTAACGGAGTACCTTGCACCTACAGAGGAACTCCACCACCATGTAATTGCGACCCTAGAGGTTCTCTTTCCTCCGACTGTAGAGACGGAAGATGTGCTTGCAAAGTAAGATACACTTGGAAATATTGAGGTTTGTTTATTTTCTCTTAATCCCATTTTAGGTGAACGTTGAAGGCAACAACTGTGACCGTTGTCGCAGTGGATCTTTCGGTCTCAACTCCAGCTCAATCGACGGTTGTGAGTTCTGTTTCTGTTCTGGTATCGTATCCGAGTGTAGCGAAAGCAATCTATACATCGAACAAATTCCTTATCAGATCACTAAGGCTGCCCATGGATTTACTATAACTGATATTTTACGCCGCACCAGAATTACTGATAACTTTGACATCGACGAATTGATGAACGAAATCAGCCACGGGTTCCTACCAAGCAACAGAGAAACTCTTTATTGGTCGCTACCAAGCACCTTTACTGGAAATCAAATTAAATCTTACGGAGGAAGTTTGGAGTATTCTCAGAGGTTCACACACAGGCCACAAGCGAGATATGTTCCCGATAAAGACGTTATTATCATCGGTAATGGAATTACAATCTTCTGGACCAATCCTGCAGAACAAAGGGAAGGAATTGTTAACGTAAGTACTAATAAGCTCCAGTTATTCGTCTTTAAGTTTTATTTTATTGAACTGTTTTGCTAAAACCTGTTTATAGCCTGTTTCAGTAAGAATTCACCCCTCAGCCAACTGGTTCCGATGGGATCAGAATCAGGGACCTAAGCCAGCTTCTAGAGAAGATATTCTTACCACTCTGGCTAAAATCGACGCCATTTTGATTAGAGCTACGCAATCTAGCGATACTGGCACTGCATACTTGAGCGACATTACTCTTGACACTGCCGTTGAACAGATAACTGGAAATTCCCGGGCTACCAGCGTAGAAGTCTGTAGGTAAGAACTTTTTAAATGGGTAAAATAGAAACAAACAACTTACGTTAATACAGAAGACAATTATTAGAAATGCTCAGCTAAACAACCGGAGATTCGGCTACGCATTAGAACAAATATTTATTCATCAAAAAATCTTTGCTTGACAACATTTTATTATTATCTTTAAAAAACGAAGTAGAATAAGTGGTGTGAAATTCGATAGTAGTAGAGTTGTGCGTTTTGGCATATCGAATCTTCTGTTGTTTAGGCAATATCGAGTTTTAGGTGCAATGCTCCTGTTAATCGCAGATAAATGATTAGGTACCATCCTTACATTTTTAACAGAAGTTGATCCTGTTTGATTCTTTACAATCGTAAGATTTGTAATCTGTTGCCCAGTATCGATAGAAGTGTTGTCTTACCGATTTCGTCACTGTACAACTTAGCCTATCCTTAGACTCTCTATGATGGTTTACTACCGATAACAGATGACCATCTCGATTAATGGTAGGAAAATTAGCTGGGCGAGTACGAAATAAACTTACTTATCTCTGAAGATTTAGTGTCCACGCTAACTCTAAAACCAAATCTCCAGAAAACTAGGAGGGTGCAAATTCTTGAGGAGTTTGAAACCTGGAAGGATAAAACTGTACTGGTACGTGAGTTAAAGTCTCCTATAAAATCGATTTCTCGAATTTCAAGCTTTCTTGATTTTAGCGAAACATAGATACACGCTCTGAAAAATGCGTGTTTCAATGTTTCGCTGGAAAAGAACCCTCTATCAACTTAACAAAAGAGCTCTAACAATGAGGAGGTTTCTACTAGTACGGATTTTATGATACGGCGAATACGAAGCTCGCCAAGAACCAAATAAAAGCGCTCTTGTTAATTTGCATTAGGAAACAACAAATCTTTACAAAGAAGTGGCCAATTGCGTCCAAATCACAATCGCAGATCCAACTCAATTAGGTTCCTTTTGGCAGTTCGTTGCTGAGTACCTCAGTAATTGCTTCTATAATTTCCTCTTTGGGGGTTACTACGTCAAAGTTCCTAATGGAACCTTTGATGGGTACAAATTGCTCTTCCACATTTATCCTTACGTTTACCTCCCCCACTTTTTCGTCAATGACTTTTTTAGAAGCTCTGTGTTTTTGCTTTCCTTGTCTACTTCTAGCGGTATGTTACCTACATCTATATCTGAAATTTCTTCGTTGACATTAGTTTTAATGTTCTTAAGCATGTTTTCCATCTGTCTATGAAGTTCTTATCTTGGCAGGAGGTGATTGAATGGAAAATACTTATACCGAAAATAAAACGCCAAAGAGTAGACAACAGTCGGCTACAACTAAGCCTTCTAAATACAAAAACTAAAAGTTTTTGTGATAAAAAAGACAAGACATGTAATTCCTAAGCGTTATGGATAAGCGTTACAAGAGGGATTTTTTTTTAATAATTCCAATCTAACTATAGGAGCTCTCACTAGTGATACTGCAGTAGAAAGTCATATAAAGTGATTAGGACTAGCCACTAAATGGGCATGTAAGCATAACAGTTGGTTTGCTCTAAAATCACAAGACAAGTTAGTTGGTTCCTTCGCTGACAATAATATATCAAGTGCTTGATTATACGATACAATATATTGACTACATTGATCTTGCTTAATTAAATCACCACCTAACGCTCTGAACTGAATCGCATTGAGATTTATGTTAATACCAATGTCCTAAACCCTTCTAAATGCCGTTCTAATAGTGAATGCGTTACCTGAAGAAAAATAATATTGATAACAAAATGTTTAATTCGTCTTCTCCACTTGTTCACCTACAATGTTTATTTATAGATGTCCTCAAGGATACGAAGGCTCCTCCTGTGAATCTTGCGACGCCGGATACTACAAAGATCTCTACTACGATCAATCCAGACCATTAGGATCGTGTTCCAAGTGCCCGTGTAACGAAAATGAAGAGAGTTGCGAACTAGGTCCAGATCATAGGGTAGTTTGCCATTGCAAGCCTGAATTTACAGGCAGAAACTGCGAATTTGAAGGTAAGTAAACCAATTAGACAAAAATTAGTTTTTTTGTATATATATTAGGAGACTATTTGATACTAGAACCAAGATAGAAAGTGATACCAATGTTTAAAAACCACAGAAAAAAATCTTGCCACAAAACACAAAGTAATATACCCTTGTGTTCAAAAATTAACTGGATTTAATTGTACAATTTAATTCAAAATCTATTTAATTGACTTTAAACAAGCTCTTTAGTGATTATAACATAAAATCCTTGTAAACATATTAGAAATTACAAAGGTAGATGAAAAATATATAAAAATCGTTATGTATAGATTCAGAGTTACTGTTTTCATATTATGACTCTCAATTACCTAAGATCTGTTGAAACTCACCATTTGAATATATCAATACAAATCTGCGCAAAATCGTAGAATCTTTTTAGAAATAGGTCTAGAACAGCTTGGAACAGTTTATAACAGGTCTGAACTGTTCTATGCCTAATCTTACCTGTTCTAGGTGGTTTAACTTGTTGTAAGTTGCTCTAGATTGTTTGAAGATCTGTTCTAGATTTATTTATATGAACATCTTACATGTTCTTCTACATCATCCACATAGTGAACACATTGTTTTTCCTCTATGTTATCTATCTTCTTGCTCTCCCTAACACAAATTCTTTCAATTAAATCTGCAAAACTTGATAGGAACACTTAAATGATTACGGTATTCCATTATTTCTTAAATACGAGGGTAAAATGAATGGTGTAATGAGAAAAAGCCTTTAAAACATGTTCTAATGTTGTGGTTTTCTTAATTTTTAACTGTTGGTTGATCTTTTAGTACATTGAACGTAAGGTAAGACAAGTTTTTTGAAGTAAAATTTATAAGCACTATTTTAATTGACTGCAGTACAATGTTATTTGCATGCAGCACGTTTTCTGATATTAGACGAAGAGTGTACATAGTTTTACTTTTATATAACTTCTAGAGAAATGTTTAAGGTTTGCTTAAAAGTGCAGAATATTAATGAAGACTAGTAATGATATCAGTTTAAACAGAGAATTACTCAGAAATTAATGTAAAATTGACATAAAAGAAGTCAAAACTACTGTTGGGACTTTTTTAGTCGCAACAGAATACAGTAAGGTCTCGTTTTATGAGGTGAATAAGTTCCACAGAAAAGCGCATATAAAAAAGTTGCTTAAAAAAGACATTAATTGCCTTGAAAAAGTAGGGATACGTCCGTAGCTTTCCAAAATTAGATAAAACCAAGACAAAAACAAAAAAGTTTCCAGAAATTAAAAGAAATAGGCAGCATGATAACTTACTTCGAATATCTGAAGGAAATTCATACAAAAGCTTAAAATACTGGTCCATATTTCTATTCGTTTTTGTGACTATTTATATTATATTCATATCGTGTCGATAAACAGGAAAACAGGAGAACCTGTTTATTTTACTAGTATTGTTGTTGAAAGTAAACTAATTATTTATAAACTTTGTCTGCAGGTGGATGTTTTTCAAAGTGTCTTGTTCTAAAACCTGTTTAAAATAGCATAAGTCATTCAATACTCTTTCAGTTTAAATCCAATTTTTTTTCTATCAATTTTCTAACATCAATTATTCTTGTTTTACTTGTAAAGTAAATATTTGCCTTTTAAAGCACGTGATTAAGAGATTTATTTATTAAGAGGCGGTTTTAACATCCTATCTCCTGATGTATTTCTACAAAGTATGTAATAATGTTACTCGATCTTTACTTGCTTAACGTCCACTTGTAGTTTTTTTTATTCTTTGCGATGTAAGTACGGTTAGGCATTTTTGTTCCAAACAGTCTTTTCCATTACAGTCCAAACAGTCTTTTCCATTACGCCCGTTTTATCAGCGTCAAATACTTGATCGGCAGAATAGTTCCCATCTTCAATAATTTGTTCTAGCTCCTGAGGAATAGTAATTTACGTAACAACTTCCGAAAGTGATATTTTACGAGACGAGTAGGAAGTTTCCAGAGCTGAAGTCTAGAAGAGTCCTGAAATCCTGCGAGTCTCGTAAAATTACTTTTCGATCGTGTTACGTACAATATTTTTTTCTATAGCCGTTTTGTATGTTAAAATGTTATTTTCTCCAATAAACACAAAGGTTTTTTCCATATTAGAATATTAGAATTAGAATTCCATATTCGTTTTAGAATTAGGAATTTTAATCACTAACATGGTTATCTTATCTTCTATTTGGCGACATTTGACGCCTCCCTTTGCTTCTCTTTCCTTGGATCTTTTACTGCATAATCAGTTGGAGCAAGGTGTATTTCTCTCCACGTGCACAATATACGAGATATTCCAATTTTCTTGTTTAAAATTTCTATTTATTTATTCATCCTTCTCGTTTCATTTATTAGAATATTCTTGTTATTCTTTTGAGTTTTCTTTATTCTCATATATTCCGTCTTCTTTACATTCATTGCTAGACCATACTCTTTTCCATACTCCGCTATTCTGGTCACCAGCCTCTGAAGATCTTCAATATTTTCGGCTAAGATTACAGTGTCGGCTAAGTTACATATTACCTTCAGCTTCTCATAAAAATTTATCTATTTCTTTTTTATTCAATACTTTTGGATTTTTTTGGTTTGTAGCCGATGGATTTTTTTTAAGGAAAGCAATAACTTTTGGATAGCGGCTTATATCTATATTATTTTTAATGTTAAGTATGGACTTAAGCATTGAGTAATTGCTCCAAAGGCTTGATGGCCTTGATAAGATAACCATGTTAGTGGATAAAATTCTAATTCTAAAACGATCATGGAAAAACCTTTGTGGTTATTGGAGAAAATAACATTTTTTTATACAGAAAATATTTGTCATTGCGTCAAGCAAACACACCGCATCGTAGATTATTTGGATATTACAAAAATAGAAGGTGTACTATACAACCTATTGGTATTCACACTTTTGAAAAAATCGCCTGCACTATTGCTGGCATTTCTTAAATTAGCGCATGCCAAAGAATACACCGGACTGTATATGAAGGAGCTCAGTCACTTTACTGGTTGATAGTAAAGATAGAGAAACATAATCCGCATAAAAATAGACCTTACTGTATTTAAGAGAAGGATTTTAATAATGTCCACAAAAACAAACGTGACACTTTCAGAAGATTTTGTTCCTATTCGAGGTGGGCTTACCTAGTTATATCTATTTCCCCTCGTTCCTATCTTACCTTATACCTATACTAATGTCTTTCAAAGACATGACAACTTTAACGATCTTTCACCATGTTTTCTTTAGATTTTCTTCATTATTTTGTCCAGGAAGTATAAGAGAAATAATATCTATCTATAGTCAGGCGTCAGCTATTTCTTGCATCGAGTACCACTCAGTTTAATTTTAACATGTACTAACCTAAAAATCTAACCATGCTAATTTTTTTTATATTGGTATCAATGGATGCCACGCCTAGAGTTTCTCTAATAAGTTTCTTGTTAATATCCTTACGCCTAGAAGAAGGATCCTTACGCATAGTCCAACCAGTGTTCGACACCAGAAGAAGAAAAAGTTATCCTTTTTTATCACTCCACTTTAGTGATTTTTTATCGCAAAGTTATCCTTTTATATACCACTTCCTTGCTTCTTATTTCCTTTTTCTGGTCTACAGTATCACGAACTGCTCTCTCCCTTTTTTATTTGCATTTTAATTTGATATGCCATTCGCCTTTCTCTATTTACTAGATCCGAAAACAAATTCTAACGATCTTTTAGCATTATTCAGTGTTGCCTGTCCCTTTATACTTTTTAACATTTAGATCCTCATCTCCAACATCGCTTCAAAAGGAATCAGTAAAAGAATAACAAAAAGAACAAAAATAAAGAAGAAATTATTGAGCTAAAAGAAGACAAAAAATATTTATCTAAGTATATAATTTGCAGAGCTACATGGTTGCCGTGTTGGTAAATGTCTAGATTTCTGAGAAATATAGATAGATATGACAGTCAAAAAGTAATAAATACTTTAAAATATTTAATATTATGCTTTCATGCTTAAATTAACATAATCTTTTAATTAAATCTATAGTGCTTTATCAAACATAATAGCTATTTCAGATGGCTCTAAATTTTCTGCACTTTCGCATCAAAATATTTTAATACTAAGGCTAAGGTCTTTTCTACTTTTAGTACTAAATTACTGCAGGTAGGTAGACTATAATTCGTAAAAAAACTGACTTGGATTTAGACAATTTTTATTGATTATTTAATTTTGAATACAAATTTTGTTGATTTTAATTAACAGTTATAGTGGTTTTCACGTCAGTGTAGAGCAATAATTTTTTTTTAATTATGAAAAAGTGTTCCAAAATATGCGAAGAAAAAATCTTTAAGTCGTCATTAGTGACCCTGTTGTTGCTGAGTAAGGATCAAATTTTCCTCTAAGAGTGTTTAGATTCCATTCTTTCATATTGTGTTGCTACACTAATTACAAATATCAAACACTTTATTTTTTCGATCCTAATTTGTCTCGAACCTAAGAACCGAGAGGTACTGACCACCATCAATCTCGAAAGTTACAATTCTTCGTACATATTAGGTACGCGAAATGAATCCAGATATGCTCTCATTTAAGCCATCCTGCAAGGAAAAAACTTTGGAAAACGAGGTCCAGGAAAAAGAAGAACATTGCTCGTCACTTGCTCGTTTAACGTGGCTGGACTCATCCTCATATCAAGGTCTTTCAGCATGCGTGGGTCGTATGCTTGTGCTTTCCTTTTCTACACTGTTTTGAGTTTGACTCGAAAAACTCCCACCAGTGGAATGTGGTCTGTCTCCAATTTTGCTCCAGGATAAGTCTTGACAGATGTAAAACTATTTCGGAATCTTTCATGGACGTATAGTCCATGGAGTCTTTTATTTATTAAAATGTAGTCTATTTAATTCATAATAATTCCCCGGGTCTGTCTTGAGGGGATTTCCACGTGTACAGCTTGCGAGGTGGTAATCGGAATAATGTGACAATCGTGACAAATAGTTCTGAGTCTTCTG